CATACGATCTTTGCTGAGCTTACTAACAGTTACCCCGGAGAGACCAACAGCCTGGGGCTCATGGTTTTTTAGACTTGCTAAATGACTGATGAAGGACTAGCATTTACCTAATGACAGTGTAAGACAGAGCTCAGTGTGCTGGCTATTTTGGATCTTATTCATTACTCTTTCTATTACTACTTTGCAAGTTCAGCAAACTGTTTCTATGATTTCTCTTGCAATGTTCTGGATTTTGTATGGGCAAGATGCCCTAAAATGTAGGCATTGCAGTACGCAGCTTAAAAGACAATAAATATCTTCTTGGATCTAGAAAGGTCTGGGAAGGTCTGGAGAGGAGTGGATCTAGAAAAATCAGACTGTACAGACCTAGATTACTAACTATCTTGGTTAGTAATCTGACCCAAGGCCCTCAAGATCTGTGCTGCTATCCAAATTACTGAGCTATTATCTTCAGTATACCTTTTCTCTGCCTCACAACATAGAAACTGTCTTCCAAAAGGCTCCTTCTGTGTTATATTGTATGTTCAGCAACATGGATATTTTTCTGTCTGCTAACTTAGCACAAAACTGCACCAAGTACATCTTCCTACAAGTACAGCTGATAGTCAAAAAAAACCAAGGGTCCTCAATCCTAGTGGGAAAGAGCTGGATGTTAAAAGGAAATGAGTACAAGGTTTTCCTGAGCACATTTTGTTTTTTAAAGCTCTTTATTGACCTCTCTTCATCAATGAAGTCTTAAGAAAGGCACAAATCAGTATTCCCTTCCTTAGGTGAAGGGTTTAGTGTGGATTTTTTGTTCTTTCTGCAGGTTTTTTATTTTGTTTTGTTCTTAGTAAAGGATGTTTGGCTGATGTAAGTTAGCACATCAATTTTAGTGACTCTTTGCCAAGAATTTTTGCTTGCACTGTAGGCCTAACCCTGAGAATTTCTCTAATAAAATATGACTCACTCTGAATGAATCATTCACAATTCTTCTGTTTGAAGGATATTCACTGCAGATCACGATTTCCTCAAATGTATTTGCTGTTTTTCTGGTTATTTTATAACATTGTCTAATGATTGTCAATGTTTCCTTTTTTGCTGTTGTACTTTTAAGTCACACATATTCTTATTTAAACCCTATTGTTTATTTGTGATTTTTGAGAAGGTCAGTTAAATATGATCTTATTCCCTTTCTTAAAACAAGATTTTCAAGTACTTTTACCTGCATGTCTAGAATTCATTGTCTATCAGTGTTTCTGCTAACAAAAAAACCAAACTGGTCATTTAAATAGTTCAGGGAAAAGCAGCATGTTGAAGTATGAAAAATTAATTTTAAAATCCATACAAATGATTCTGTATTTTCACAGATTTCCCATCTCAAAATGAAATACTATCTCCCAGTGCGCATTCCACATCTACCAGGAGAGCGGCATTCACAAAGTGGGAAGGAGAAGCTATGATTCTGTCTTACAGCTGAGATAATGGCATTTATACACACATTGCTGTAAAAATGAAATGGCTGAAAACAGTATACCAAAGCTATGGTTGAGAAATGCATCTGAAATTACTAAAGTAACATTGCTGCTGCTGATGAGTAAGGGGTTAATTCTGTTGGTATAAATCAGCATAGGTGGTAGATTTGTGCTGATTTACATTGGTAAAGCCCAAAAGATAGAGGGGATACAGGACAAACGAGAGATGCTATATTTATTTCATAAGTGAAAAATACTTCATAACTCAGGCACATCATTGGCATGAATAAGTTATGAAAAATCTTCACAGCCAAAAGAACATAATCATCCTTCATGTATAACAGATTTGTTTATTCTGTAAAGATTCATTTCAGTTGATTAATTATCAGTATCTGCTGATGGTGGAGGTAACAAGCCATCTCTGATGAGAGAATCATTTTAGGACATGCTCAGAATATTTTATCACCCAGTGCAAGTTGTGTATGCTTAGAATATTTATCATACCGTGTACTAATATTATCACATTTTATAAGCTAAGTACTGAATGTAAATTATATTACAGATATAGCAGTTATCTATATTTTTCTTGGTTTTTTTTAAAGAGAGATGTAATAAAAATAAAGCCAGCCCAGTAACAGTTGTGTTTGCATGTCAAGTGTTGAACTGTTCTGCTGCATTAAATCATTGTTATTCTAGACCAGTAAAAATTTGCATAAGTGCAGATGGCAGTTCCTAACAATACCATCAGAATTGTTTCACCATACACCAAATCCACCCAGTACCAGGCACACTGCACACTCACTAGCCATTATTCACAGATGGAAGCTAACAAGATGGAGGTTTATCAAGAGGTAAATTGCCTTCTTTTTTCTACAACTTTATTTATTACCTAAACTAAATTGCAACTCCAAGTTAAAATACCAAAAGAAAGATTAGATCATCTGAATACTGAAGCATTTATGAAGAGGGAAAAATTATAATAAATCTGTCAATCACTGCAAAATAAAAAGCAAAAGTAGATCAGATTTTTAATACATTATAATAATTTGCTATTTATGAAGCTAACCTTAGTCACCAAAATACCTAAGTATAAAGTATTATCCCTAACAAGATAGATGGAAATCTGTTACTAAATCTATTGAATAGACATACTACTTCAATCAGACCCTACTCACAGAATGGACTAGGCATCCACGTTTGTGGATCTTTAAAGTGTACATACAAATGTCTGCATATGCTGTACTTGCATTGTGTGCAAGAGGCCAGCTGGATCTTCATCAGCCAAGACTTTGCAGAAAGTAATAGAACCTCTGCAGAGTTTTGTATGAAGCACTGAGTGTCTCTTAGCTTCAACAAACTTACATGTTTGAAAATATAAACATTTGGTCATCTTGAAACTCAATGTTTTCTTTCATTATCCAGCCAAAGCCATTAATTTTTTATTTTCCATGGAGATAAAACATTTAATAAGTATTAATATACATTTCCAAAGGATCCACTGTGAGCTAGTCTTTTTGCACAAGCTGAAGAAAGATGGTCTGGCTCAAAGTCCTTTAAAGCCAAGCATAGCTTTTTTGTTAGTTTCAGTGCTTTGCTTAAAGTCGAAGACTATCACCTACCTCGGTATTTACAGCTCTCTGTTATCAGTGTATGCCAGCTTTTGGTATTTGTTTTGTCACAATGAGATGGATTGAGGCAAAAGTTCAAAAAGTTTTTAATTTCTTACAAGATTGGAGCCACTGATAGCAAGTGTGTTTACCTAGGGAAGATGGCAACTTCTAATTATTTGGAGTGCTTGTTTTTAATTTCATTACCAAGAAATGCAGGTAATACTGCTTTTGTATGCATCTGGTCAAAAGTCAGCTGGCATCCAGTTTCAACCAGGCCTGAGAAAAAAGTAGCACTCTCAGAGGAATTATATTCCTCCACAGCAGCCTGATAAAGAATAAAAATTTCTTCAGGTTCATCTCTTAATTTCAAAGAATCCCTACCCAAAGACACACTAGGAAAACCTAACTGCAGGGGAAGACCTGCAGCTCAGCTACTTAGGTCTTTAAGATTCTTCTTCCAGAAGAATCCACAGGAGATCAGACTTTCTAGGTTGCTCTGCTCACATAGCTGCTTTCTTGGTAGATTGTTTCTCTCCTCTTTAATCTGTTAATTTTGTTTGCTGTTGTTTTCAGTTTGGTTTGAGCCAGCCTTGGTGAGGTGGAAACCACCTGGATCTGTGGTTTCATGAAGTAGGCAAGGTATTTTCAGACTGAGTTGTATGATCAGTGGTGACTCAGTAAAAATGAGCTGTGCAGCTTTTGTGGTCTTGTATCTCAGAGCTTTTCTAGCCAGATAGACACTTTAGATATCAAGACATTTTTCAGGGCTTTCAAGTAAGTTCCTAAAAGTTTAATGGAGACAGATGTTTTAGTTGTTTAGATCACTATTTCTGTAGTTAGCAAGATTTAAACAACAGATACAGAAAATCCCCTGCTATGCTTGCTGAAATTAGTAGGAAAATTCCCATCTGGGGTTATGATTTATCCTCTGTTAGATTTTGTGGGTGGATAGAGGTGTATGAGGCAGAAAAGGATTAATCTTTTTTCTCTTTTTCCACTGCTTCTACTACAGCAACACAGCTAATCACATGTGAGTCAGCAAAGTGTCCTTTTCTAGGGAAAGGAAAACTTACAAAGGGGAAAAAAATGTTCATCTCTGCTGTGGTGAGGAGAAACACTTTCTCATGAACTGCTTTCTTGTTTATATTAATATAAAGTGACTTAAAGTACACATCATTGAAATGTTCATCACCTGGTGAGGGAATCCATTACCATAGCCTTCTGCAGGAGCATCAGAGAAATAGTCATAAAATGCACTCAAGGCATTTTCCTCTTTTTCTAGAATATCCCTGTCAGTGCCGAGCATATGCAATCATTGTGAGATTCATTACTAGATTCAGTCAGATAAGTCAAATAAGTAGGGTGTATTTATTGAGAGAATACATGCACCTTTTACTCCCAAGATTTGATTACCCTTCTTGAATCCTCAGCCAAAATCAGATGCTAAGGTGATAACCAGCACTGAAGATGCACAGGTCGGTTGTTCTTCAATTCGGGACTGGCACTTTTTTTAGTGAAAATCCAATCACTTTCCTCTTGCCTATTTGAAACTGGGCTTTATGAGATCCACACAGAAGTTCAATCTAAAGAGCATTTGGAACTTCAGAAGAGTTTTGGTGACTACCTAATATTACAGCTTGTTGGAGGAATTGTGTCTTTAAGAGATGCCTAAAGGAGCCCATTAGTATTGTTATACTATTTGGAAATTGATACAGAATAACATTTTGCAGCAGCAACTTTTATAGTGGATGAGACACATCTGTCAGACTTCTTGACTCTGGGTGATTACAAAATGCAATACTTATCTCCCACTCTGCCAATCTTGTATTGATTCCCAAATATGTCTCTAGGTATATAGTGGAGAGTTTGGTCTTGGTTCATTTGCTCTTAAAAGCTAAGCAAACTAACTAAAACCTTCTCTGTATTTTCTTGTTGTACTTGATATCATGTAGGAGATCCATATCCTGCAAAACTGGGCATGAGTAGAAATGACTTTCAACTCCAGAGCACATGTCCTTTTAATTCTGGAAGGCCTGAGTTTGCTGACCTGCAGTGCTTGTTTCAGAGCCTGTTGTTAATGCATTTTTGGACAGGAGCTGAGGTCACAAGATTCTGATCAGTTTTCATGGAAGCATCTACCTAACTTCACATTGACACTTTTTTAGTGAAACCTAGCAAATCATAACTTTTGAGAGTCTTTTTAGTCCCAGTCAGAGCTTTTTCTCTGGAGGAAAAAAATATTCCATGAGTGATTATGTAGAAACAAACTCAGCCTGAGGACTTCTGAAACTTTCTGTTTCAGGGAAGAACTTTAGGTGCTTAGGTCAATTATTACTGTAGCTGAGCTTTCAGATTCCTTTCAGGCAGATCTATATTCTTGTTACTAAAATCAAAGATACTCACTTTGGTGCCAGGGAGTTTGAAATGCTTGTGTAAATCATTAACATGAACCATTTATTCTGACCACAGCTACATGGTCTAAAGTTGATATGTGGAATTTGTTAATCATTACTCGTCAACTACTTGCTGCACATCAGAAGGTGATTCCAAAAGCTCCTGCCAACTTTTCAGAGGTCAGTACCTTGGGTTCTCTTTGCTTAACTAACCTAAATTCAGCTTTTGTAAGTGATCCTGAAATGCCTAGTCAGGTGGTTTTTTTTGGTTTTTTTTTTTGTAACCTGTGACACCTGAAGAGAAATCCTAACTTCTCTCTGTCAGATACATGAAAAATGGTTAAACAGTTGGAATGTTATTCCAAAGCTGTTTTTTCAGTTTTTTCCCTCGATAGAGTCAGGAGGTACTACAGCCCTAGAGAAGCCGCCATGTGTGGTTCTGCAAGATTCAGGGGCAGGAATTGGCATTCCTTAGATGACTTGATCCAGCAGGGACTTTGAACAAATTCTCACACAGTGTGGCTTGCACTTGGGTACATGACAGACAGTGAAAGCATCAGAAATACCTGCAGAAATGCTGCTGCCTCTCAGTTGCTTGGTGTCTGCTGATTTTATTTATTCCTAACTCATTATGCTGTGGTGTGGAAAATACCCTGGGCTTTCCCCAGCAGCTACTCATCATGAACTTCTTTATCTGGCCAATTGCCTTTCTCTTCATGGTCCCACTTTCATTCTTTCTGCCACCAAGCAGCCTTTTTCTAGTCTGGGTACTTGCAACCTCATTCTTCTTCAGTTCACCAGTTTTCCTTTCCTAGCCCAGTGCTTGAAGTCCTTTGCCATTGTGTCTAAGACTTTTCAATAGCTCCTCTTCCTCTGTCTGAGTTTTCTTACCTCCAACTCTTCTTCTGTAACCCAGCACATCATTTCTGACTTGTTTCTCTTGTGCCTAATTGAGCCATTTTATCCTCTCTTGTGCAGTGAAGCAGAAAAGAAATTCCTTAATTTTAGTTTGGATCTAAAGTGTTGCGTTATCCAGCAACATCAAAGAGTAGCCTTTCTATGGAAATGTGGGAAGCCAACATCCTTCAGCTGCTGACTCAATGTAAAACAAATATTTAAAGAATTTCAATACCAGCCCTTAGCAAACCATTACTGCAAATCTGCAGACTTTTCCAAATTTTCCAAAGTTTTATTTTGTCCAAATTAGATAATTTTACTGGCATGCAGTAATAAAAAGGTACATCCCTAATACAAGTATTAGCTCTCTATTAGTTTTCATCCATCTGTTCCAGAATAGGGTGAATGCCACAGCTAACTAACTGAAAAGACATTCAGCATTGAAAATATATTCTTTGCATCTTGCTCTTCAGAATGACTGCATCAGTTTTGATCAGACTTTCAAAAAAGTTACTGTGAGCTAACCAGCTCCATGGAATATTACAGCCCAGTGTAATGGGTTATCAGTAGGCAAATGAAAAACCTTATAAAATAAAATGCTGAAAAATCTTTATATTTTTCTCCAATTGTATGATGAATAAGTTATTTGTGTAATCTCATTTTTTTCTTTATTGCATTCTTTTCTTTTTTGAGACATAGAACATGTCTCAAAACCTGTAGGTAGTGTTAGAAGAACAGCAGAAAAATAACTGTGATTGCTTGTTGTATTGAAGTACTAGACGAGAGATTCCACTTGCTTTGAAGAAAATGTCAGGTTATAAAAAAATAGCTCAGATTAAATGAACTATTTTTTGTCAGAATTAAAATGCATTTTATGTTCAGTCTTCTAGAAAGGTAAATGACTGTACAGAATATATATAGAAAGTCTTGACATTATTGAAACAATCATTGATCAGACACTGTAAAGCCTCAAACAGAGATATGTAGGTCCTTAGAGAATGACAGAAAATTACAACAGATTAAGAATATTTACTTTGGCAAGACAGAACTAAAGTTTCTGGAGGAAAATGCTTTTTGACACTGTTGTAGAAATAATCGTGTAACTGTAGAAAGAATTCCAACTAGAAATGGGATTTATAGAAACCACTGATTTCTTTGTAGTCTTTTGCTTCAGCTAGTACCCAATTTTATTCATGTAACTGTTCTTTAATTTGGAACTAATTGCAGATGTAGGGTGAAAATGGGTTACAAATTTATATTTGCAAATGCAAAAGAAATACCAGTTCTACACTACTGAAGAAAATAAAGACATTCACTTAAATACGACTTTTGATGTTAAAGTTAGGATTCCCAGCTTTAAAAAGAAAATCTTACAAATTGCAGATATTATTCAACACTCATGTTTTGGCATGTGTTCTGTAGAAATACATTGTTTCTTTATAATTTTCTGATCATAAGGGATTTCATGCCTCATGATGATCAGTACCCTTAAACATAATGTTTTATGGAAGAATGTGGTGCACTCCTGAATTTGGAAGTCAGTGGTAATAAAGATCACAGATCCCACCTTTAGGTTTGCACAGTTCTTTTGCTGAATAAGTAAAAGATAATAGATTGCATTGACTATATGCAACATCCATTTTTAGTGAAAAGTGGAGTTTTTATGTGCTGAAGTGTATTCTTACATTTCTTCATAGTGGAAGTTACATACATATGATTGCTTTCATCTGATGCCTGGAAGAAATTCTGACTTCAGGCTGCAGTAGTCATGCTGGGTTAGCTGGAAGTTGAGGGAAAAGGCTTTTAATAGATGCACAATAAAAAAATGGTTAAAGGCTACTGCTGTTGAAGAACAAAGTTAGGCTAAGAATAAACCAAAGGCTGAATGGAAAGGTTTGATTTTAAATTGCAGATTAAGTTATTCTAAATTCTTAATGTTCTCTACTTCTCAAGAAACAAACTATAACAATGTTCTAGTTTTATTCTAAAGTCGTCATTAACTGTAAATCCTATTTCTCATTGAAGCAAAGAAAATGCAAAAAGTAACCTTCTATTACAGAGATGTATTGGTAGTTCTGAGATATTAATTTTATCTTCAGTGTATCCCATTTTGTAAAGACCACTTTTCAAGCTGAAGAATATTCCTGAAAACTTGTCATTTTCTTATTAATGTTTTTTGTAATTCTGCACTGCTATGACATTTTTAAGCTTCAGTGTTGTTTTCTAAGGGAAGTTATTTCCATTGCCCGAGCAAGTGAACTGTGCAAAACAGGCCACGAAGCAGGAAAAGGAGAATGAGTGTCTGAAGGAAAACAACCACAACTATGAGCAGCAATTGCAATGAATAAACCAGGGGAGTCTGAGGTTTTGCAGCTCTCTCAAACTAGCCTTTAGAAAGCAAAAGTAGATTCAGGTCACAAACATGTTTACTCACTGGGACAGTTTTGTGATGTGTATTTTCCTTAAGGCCCAGGCAGGCAGTTTCTGCCAAGGGTGTATAAGAGCGTAAACCATGGCTTAGAATTCAGATTTCAACTAAGGAAACCCAGGGCAAGACTTAGTTAAAGAAACTAATCACATTTTCCAGAGTAGATCTAATGGCCTTGAATCACGTGAGTGAAAATCCTTCTGAGGTCAACAGCATTATTTGCTGGAGTGGAGAAGACTGGAGTGGAGAAGGAAAAATTATCCATTGATCCAAACTGTATATAGTCTATAGCTTTAGGTAAAGCTGATATTTGCCCACACTGTATGTTCTGGAAGTTGTACTAGTTGACCACTGTCCATGGAATGCAGTCATGGGGGTGTCCCCTTTTACATTTATGTCTTTAGTGATCCCCCCATAGTCATAGCTGATTCAGAAAGCAATTTGCAAAAGTTGCCTCCTCAACTGAATAACCATGAACTCTAGCATCTCTCTGATTATTTGCTGTAAGCTTTGCTTAGACAAATCCACATTCATGCATAGGATCATGTCTGCTTGTCTAAAAACTGTCTTCTGTAAATCCTAAAATGTGAACATAGGAAAGGGTATTTAAGCTGTTTTCACCCTGCTCAGTTTCTCACTGTTTTCTCTAGTCCAGCTAGAATGTATTCAGATAATACAGATGTCAACATTTTGCCTTGGAAACTGATAATAATTTGTGCATACAGGGAATGGTGAGAAAATCCCTTTAGAAGTTTATGTACTTGACTCTTCGTGTCTGCGGGACAAAGTAGTGAGCATAAGCAGATGGAATGTATTTCAAAGTGCTGATACTTCCACTCTCTCCATACTAAGGCTCACACTTTGTCAACTTAAAAGAAAAGCACAAAATTGTTGTGAAAAGGTACCTGCTCCTTTTAGCCTGTATCACTCACACAGTCTTTAAACTGCTTTTGGTATCCTATGATATACATCGGTCACCAGGGAGAAAACAGAAAGCAGGAGCAAACAGCATGGTATGCTGTTGAGAATAAAAGCAGCTAATAGTCTTTATTATGTAATGGAATTATAGTAGTAAACAACGATGGCATTTCTGACACAGTTGCAGGTATCTGACGGTGGATATCCTATTTGATTTCCATCAATTTAATCTCAAAACATTGGTCAAGAAAAAGCAACCAAAAGTTAAAGGGCTGAAGGGCAGAAAGCAGAAGAATCTGAGGGGACACTGAAAAAATCTGAAGCTATTTACTTCCTGAAGAGGATGGTATTTATGTTGTAAGAAAAGGCTTGCACCAGAAAAAAAAAATGAGCTTAGTAGTCTTGGCTCTCAAAAATTCAAGAGCAGACTGACTTTCAAAGAAATTGAAAGGTAATATGTCTAAAACTACAAAAAGAGATGCCCTTTTTCACTGCACATAATTACGTTTTGAAGACACCACTGCAAAATGCTGCTGCATTAAGGTACTCAAGGCCCAACAGATTATTATTTTTTGTTATGAATACTAAGAATCCCATTCTATTACGTTTACTAGAATAAAACTATATTGAGTCAACAAATTGTGTTTGAATTTTAGAAAATGCTTCTGGAGCCAAGAAAAGATAACTTTTTTTTCTTTTGTTTTGAAGTTTTGGGGTTTTTGTAACTTAGAATTGTGTTCTGTGGGTAATTTTTATTATGCATTGAAAGAATGACTACTTTTGAGTAATAAGAATGCTATATTGCCTGAGATGGAAAGACTCTATTGCTGTGCATACATCCTGAAATAAAAAGCTCCCTTTTTATACCGCTTCATCATTTTCCCCTTCTTTTGAACACTTTGTTCATCAGATACTTACCTCTTTAGTTTGGAGTTTG